GTAGCTAGAGAGACACGGACACCCCCTCTCCCTTCACCCCTTTCTTATCAAAGAAAAAAAACAAAGTGAGTATGTTAGGGAGAACTTGACAACGCCATTTTGAAACATATCCTCCACCATAGAACAACAGTCACCCCTGGAAACTCTGACTCAGCCTGACCTCAGAATAAATCTTGAGAAACACTTTGTTCGACATGGAACAGTGACCGCCACAATGAAGGTGACAATCACAAGGACCCTTCCCTGACAACCACCGAAACACACAACTTCCCTCACTCCCTTGCTTCTCTCTAAATTCCCTAGGCTAAGTGGAGGGTGAGTTCCAGTCTCCACTGGACCCCTCTACAGGTTTGTCCCCAATAAACCTGTTACTTTTGGCTGCCTCTCCTCTCTCTCTTGCTATTTCCTTTATTCAGTTCTTTCCTTACAACATACAAGCCACTGAGAGAGATAAGCTGGGACCACAATGGCTGCAGTTTCCCTGTGGCCCCCAGAGTTTATGGATACCTTTGCAGGCCACAGAGACAGAACACACTTTTCCTTTGTTGGGATGTTCAAAAGGACCAAGGAGTCCTTTCTAACATGGAATTAAAAAGACGACTGCCCCCTAAAAATGTCCCCCAAGACTGACAGCTTCCTGTCACGTTCCTCGTGACAAAAGCACTCAGAGTCACTCCAGGGGAACTGGGCTGTGCAAAATAACCACACAAGAGACAGAGATACCTTTTTGGGGGGGTTCCTGTGACAGCTCCTCTGACCTTAAGGGTCCGCAGAAAGAGAGAGTAAGAGAGGAGCATGTGCTAAACCCCTTTATTGAGGAGAAGCCATTCAAATGAGGCCAGGGGTCAGGTTTCAGGGGGCTGAGTCTAGCTTCTGATGTCCACTGTCAACAGGTTGACTGACCTCTAGGAAGGCCACACCCAAGGGCGGAGCAAGAGAAGGGGACACACAAAGGGCGTTTCCATGGAACATTCTATCCCCAACAGGGCCAAGGGGTAATATCCCAAAGGAACAGGTGAGTGTAGCTCAATCCATGGGGTGACACGCCTACGTCTGAAGACACATTCTGCTACTTTGAGGATCCTGGCAATATCCAGGTCACTACAAAAGTGACCCACAGAACCTCTCCGATCACGGGCAGGAGTGTGCGAAATCCTTCAGACTGGCTGCCCACAGCTTCCCATGCCAATCCCAGTGTGGTTCACATTCAGGCATGGGGTGATCTTCCTCTTACTGTACTACACTTGACCTTCAAGGCTTCCCTGTGTCTTGCCACAGAACATCCAAAAGCCTGTTATAGACCCCATTTATCAGTGGGGAAACCGAGGCTCAGGGATTGGCTTACCACCTCTAGTCTAAACCCTGTGTATCTTCCAAGAATCTCTGAAGTCTACTCTCTGTCTACCTTTCCGATCGTGGGTACCCCATAGTAGTGGTCTTTAATTGTTTGTGCCTCTCTCTTCCTAAAAGAATATACAAATGATTCAGCCCCTTGTACATTTTTAAGTAATAGCTAATGTTTTTCATTACTTTAAAATGTTGCCAAGGATGGATGTTGTTTCTAGTATTTTATAAATACTACCTATACTTGTGTCTCCATTCCACTTTCCTCTAAAAAAACTCATTATGTAATATATTCTCATGTTTGAAAGTCTGTCTCAGGTAACAATAAAACTCTGAGCAATTTTCTTCTGGCTTGAGTGGCTATTATAAATATTAGTAATACCCAATTGACTAAAACAAGAGAAACTTTATAAATATTAAGCATAAATTTATTGTAAATATATCTCTTAATGAAATGAATGAGCTAGCCCCCCTGCCAGCCTTTGTTCATTCATATATTTGTAGTTGAGTATTATCTACTGCTAGGAGAGTGCATTCAGCATCAATTCTAATCCTAATTTTTCATTTTCAAATTGAGAAAATGTTTATATAAGTAGATGATAAATGAGTCTTGATTAAAAAAATGGCATCTGATTTTCTGAGTGATTTGTCCCCTGCAAAATCACATAGAAATCTTTTTCTTTCTCTCTTTATTTTTAGTTATTTATTTTACAGGAATGGGAATTGAACTCTGGGTTTCAGGCTGGCAAGCACTCTACCATTAGGTTAYATTCCCAGTCCACTCCCCGCCCACTTTTTTTTTTTTTTTTTAATTTTGAGACAAGTTCTCACTAAATTGCTGAGGCTGGCCTCAAACTTGTGGTCCTCCTGTCTCAGCCTCCTGAGTAGCAGGTATTACAGGAGTGTACCTTGGTGCCTAGAAGTTCTTCCTGTTTTAAAGCAAAGATTTAGAAACCTCCTGGCTTGAATGCAAAAATGATACTTTACTCAGMTTTTTTTAAAAAATGTTTTTTGTAGTTGTAGATGGATACAATACCTTTATTTTATTTATTAAACTTTATGTGGTGCTGAGGATCGAACCCAGGGGCTTRCATCTGCTAGGCAAGCACTCTACCACTGAGCTAAAACCCCAGTACCCTTTACTCAGCTTTTGAGCCATTCACTTTCTCAGCACCTATGGTCTTCCACTGGCATTCCCAATTGTCGCTTTGCTTAGTGTTCTAGGATAACCTCTTTGAGCAGTCCACTATTGAAAGAAAGTGGATCGGTGATAGTGAACCTTCTTTTTGAAAGCAGAGAAGGTGAAACTGTGAAAGAAGAAAGCAGTTTTGGCAAAGAGAACATTTGGAAGTTTAAGATCACATATTGATTTTTCTCGAAGCTCTTGGTTCCCTAGGGATACCCAACTCCTATTATAAGACCAAAATGCTCCCAGCCAATACTCAGAATCCAGATATTTTGTACTCACAATGTATTTCCTTCTCCTTACATTGTTTCCATGTTCTTCTATTCTCCTTTCTTGCCTATTGAAAAGTGAGGGCTGGGCTGGAGGTGTAGCTCAGCAATAAAATGCTTACTAGTACCAAAAGGCTTTAGGTTTGTTTGACAGCACYAAAAAACATACCCATGGGTATGGGCATGGGTATGGGCATGTTGCACATGCCTGTGATCCCAGGACAACTGGGGAGGCTSAGGCAGGAGGATCACAAGTTCAAGTTCAGCCTGGTAACTCAGTGAGACCCTTTCTCAAAAAAGTGGTAGAGTGCTTGCCTAGCTGCACAGGACCCTGTGTTCCATCCCCATTATTGGAAAAAGAAAAAAAAATTAAGGCACTCTCAAATTTTAGCTCCTACCTAAAGCTTCCCTTTTCTCTACATTTCCACAGCAGCTGATGTTTTAACTTCACTTCCAATCCATGAAACCCGCATCATGGTAAATTAGCAGCTTTACTTCATGATAATTTTAATATACTTTAATGAGATTGCTTGACAGATTGGTRTCTGAAAAAGACATGAACTTTGATATCAGGTAGCACATTAACTCTAGGAGCACAGGGACTCTGTTTTTGTTCCATGCCATGTAGTTAGCACCTAGTATAACACCTAACATATAATAATAAGTGTATAATAATGATTTGCTGAATGAATGGATAGACTTGAGTTTGACCCTTAGCTACACTATCACTTTTTAGCTGTGTGACCTTTAGCCATTCAACTTCAGAATTTATGCATTTATATATTCCTTCAATAAATATTTGTTGCACATCTTCTAAGAGACAAGCACTGTGCTAGATTTTGGGGACATAGTTGAAGAATATATGTCCCTGTCTTCAAGGAACTCATCAATTTGTCCTGGATCCTGTTACAGCCAGATGGGGCTTCCAGGAAGAAAAAGAGGAAGCTGAAAGTAAATCTACAAGGTCTTCATGGGTCAGATTGTCTTGGGCCTCCTCTGCCATATATGGGAATGTGAACTTGACTATCAGCACTCTTGGGTAGGACTGAGTGGACTTTGTGATTTATTAAGTATAGGGCATGATGAAGTCAGAGTCAAAAGTTAACACCCAGGTAGCATAGTCAAAGGTCTCAGCTGTGGCAGTGGCTGGCCATAAGTATGGAAATGGAGGGACAGATAGGAGAGTATATAGCAGAATCTACAGGATTTGATGATAGGTTTGGGGTGAGGGGTTTGAGAAAGAAGCAAATCTTCCCAGATTCTAGATTCCCATATCTCTTGTCTAAGGTAACAAGGTCAGTGAGTCAGAGAACACAGGAAGAAAAGCAAGTTTGTGAGGCTTTGGGAAAATTAGCTAACCTCCTTGAGCCTCAATTGTCTATCTGTAAAATGAAAAAGATAATCTGGTTTTTCAGGTTGTCATGAGAATTAAATAAACTGGGAAATTGCAGGACACAGTAGATGCTCAATAAACATTTTTGGYTGATTTCAGTGATGGTGCTTGCCCATATGCCAAGCAGTTAGTCCTTACACAACCCTCTAGAGTARGTTTTAGTAGTACCTTCATTTTACCAATGTAGAAACTAGAGGATCCAAATGTGAAGAAACTTCACCAAAGTCAATCAGTTAGAAAGAGGCAGAGTTGGGTGCAGACCCCAGGCAGTCTAGCTCCATAGCCCACATTCCTAACCATTTCACTGTACCCACTGCCTTTGGAACCTATAAATGGACTTGAAGGAAGAAAAAAGGGAATGGTAGGAGAGAGAGACAGACCTGAGCTAATAATTCCTTCTAAGAACAGTTTTTATTTGGAAAAATGCCTCTACAACTTAGTGGCAGCTTGCGGGCCGATGGCCCTTGTTTTGCTTGTTCGCTCTCTTTCCCAGTCCAGGTCATTGGTCCTTGGGGCTAAAGCACAGGGCCAAGTTCTCAAATATTAACACATCAGACAGTCTCAGCCATGGTCTGGGGCTTAGGACTGGTACAAGAGACAAACCATGTTYCATCCTGGACAGTCTCCTGGTTGGAGGACCTGGGTCCCTGGCACCAGGACCTCAGCTCCCTCTCCTTTCAGGGGCCAGTGTCATCCACAGGCCAGCTGTGGCCAGGTCCTGGTGGACATGATGTTGGAAGCAACAAGGGGCTAGGAGAGGCTAATTTTCTGGTGGGGGATCCAGATTATCTTCTTGAGCGGTGGAGGCCGGGACTGGAGTCTCATCCCCACCATTGAGGGACTTTGGTTCACTGCTGTTGGGTGAGGGGGTCCTGTTTCTCTGGGATCCCCAGCGGGTCAGGCGCTTTAGAGAGGAGTCTCGGCGGGCAAGTAGAGGGGGATGGAAGCCTGTGAAGGAGCTGCTGGTGACTGGACGCTTATCTGGAAAAGACAGCAATCAAGGAGAAAAACACATGTGAAGGGCAAAGGCAAGGGCATGTGACTTTCAGTCCCACCTTGCCAGCCCAGGAGGTCTGGAGGCAWCCCTTTTTTCTTCCCTTTTCTTTCCCTTCCCAACCCCAGGGAAAGTCCCAGTCTACCCCTTCTTACCTCCAGGCTCAATTGGATGCATGAGCCTGTTCATCTGGACATTCCAGTGTTTCACGTTGGTGCTGGCCTGGCGCAACTTCCTCTGAGCAGCCTGTGAGGGCAGGGTCAGTGGGGAATGGGTCAGAGCCACCATCCTTGGCCGGCGATCCTGATCTTTTCAGGTTCACAGCCTCTTAGAATCTGACCAGGCTACTAATTACCTCCCTAGAAACCCATAAAGATTTATTATTTTTTTATTTTTCATAAAGATTTATGTAGATGAACAGTTTGCCTCCAATTTTAGGGGGCTCTTGGACCCTCAAGAGTAAAAAATAATCTATTATAATAATAGTCTCTATTGAGCAGCTTAGATGTGCTAAGCATATTAATCTTAATTTACAGAGCAGAACTTAGCAACAGACAAGTTCAAAAGAGGTTAAGAGGGGCTGGGGATATGGCTCAGTTGGCAGAGTGCTTGCCTCAGATGCACAAGGCCCTGGGTTCAATCCCCAGCACCAGACACACACACACACACACACACACACACACACAAAGAGGTTTTCCCAAGGACACATGCTGAATTCTAAACCACTGAACTAATGCAGGAACCTCTGCACCAATATATACAGATCGTTGGCAGTAGTTGTGAGGTGGGTAGATCATGAAGGAACTGTCCTTTCCTATGTTGCATATTTCTGTATTGTTTAAATTTTTTGCAGTGATTTCATAAATCAAAATTTCATAATTTTGGCCAATAAAGCCAAAATAAAATCATCAATATTAATAAAAATAAAAGATCAAAATTAAAATACAGGGCTGGGGATGTGGCTCAAGCGGTAGCGCGCTCGCCTGGCATGCGAGCGACCCGGGTTCGATCCTCAGCCCCACATACAAACAAAGATGTTGTGTCTGCTGAAAACTAAAAAATAAATATTAAAAAACTCTCTCTCTCTCTCTCTCTCTCTCTCTTTCTTTAAAAAAAATTAAAATAGAAAAATTTAAAGCCTCTTCTATGGAGATTTATACTTCAGGGAGTGAAGATCAAGTTCAGGGACAGTAAGACAAAGGCTTGGAAGAATAGGAGGAAAATATTCTGCCTAGATTAATGATTGATTTGATTTTGCTGTGCTGGGCAACAAACCCAGGACCTCATGCATGCTAGGCAAGAGTTAGACCACTGAGGGACTCCCCAGCCCTTTTAATTTTATTTTGAGGCTGGGTTTCCTAAATTGCCCAGTTAGGTCTCTATCTTCAGATTTTTCTGCCTCAGTCTCCTGAGTAGCTGGGATTGCAAGGGTATACCTCCACGGCCAGTCAGATTAATAATAATAAACRTAGCAGCAATGTTTCTTAGTAGTTTTACTAAAAATCATGTATTACATCTCTTTATTTTTCATAACAGTTGAATTAATAGTTTCCTTTCCAGATGGAGGACTAAAAATGAAGAGCGGTTAGGCAGCCTACYAAGGTCACACAGTCAGATGAAGATAACGCCAGGGTCTGAGGGATGGMACTTTGGCTCCGGATGACACGCCCACCTCGCCCTCCATCCAGTTCCAGGGCCTCACCTCTACGTCCTCGTCGGCTCTCTGCCGGTTCTGCCGCACCTCCTCCAGCTGCTGCTGGGCCTGCTGCAGGGAGCGGCTCTGCAGCGCCATCTCCTGCTGCAGCTCTTGCTTCTCCTGCTGCGTGCGTTCGATGTAGCGCTCCTGATCCTCCTTCAGGTGCATCAACTGCTTCAGCTTCTCCTCCTCCTCCTCCAGCAGTCTGTCGGGAGTGCACGGTGTCTCTCCAGGGCCTAGGCACCTCGCAGCTGCTCAGTAGTGAGCGTWTTGGAAAAGCAGGAAAGGGCCCCTCAGGCCTACCTGGTCTGGGCGAGGCGCACTGCCTCCTCATCACGCCGAGCTTTCACCTCCAGTTGCAGAGCCTCCTGCAACCGCTGCTGCATCTCCTCCAGCTCCTTAATGCGCTGCCGCTGCCGGGCAGCCTCCTCCTTCTTCAGCTCCATCTCGGCCTGCATGGAGGCTCGAGCCTGCAGCAGAMGGGTTGGGGGTGGTAAATGGTTGGGAAATGGGAAGACTGGGGAGTTTGGTGATTGTGTCCTGTGGTTCCCTGGGGCTTCTCTACCAGGCTACCTGGGAGTGAGGGACTGGGGGATTCCTTTATTTTGTGATTTCCTGATCTGACCCCTTTCTGAGAGTGAACAGATGCCTGGTCATTTCCTTCCTAGCTCAAAGGCAGGGCACTCACCTAGCATGTTCATAGGCCCTAGGTTTSATCCCTAGTACCACCCCACAAATTACATATTATTATATCTATTAAATAACATAGTGTGTTATATTACAATTAAATAACATTAAATTAAAATATGATCATCTCTTAGCACCAGCCCTAATAATTATGATATATATTATAATATCATTATGGCTGGTGTTAGAAAGAAGGTGGCTATAATTATTATTACAACAACCAAAAATTATTGAACCCTTTACAAGTGTTCCCTCTCTTAATCCTTACCCTACCTCCATGAGCAAAGTTCTATCAATATCAACATTTACTCTTAGGTAAATGAAGCACAGAGAAGCTGAGTAAATTCTCTGAAATAACATGGCTCCTAGAAGGYAGAACTGGATTGAATCCACCTGTCTCTGACACTAGACCAGATCTTTCAAATCCTAAATCTAATAGCCTTTGCAGGCCTAGTCTGCCTCCAGAAAAGTCCTATCTATTTGCCTTCCTGCAGATCTCAGTTCAGGTCTAGTCCAACCTTGGTCCAAACTATTCTCACTCAGTCTTCAGCTGCTCCTTGAGTCCAAGCTGAGTCCCCTGGGAAAGACTTCAGAATWTGGCCCCATTCTACACCTGTCACTCAGTCCTCTCTCCCCACTTCATACCATCCCTCATCTCTAGCCATCCCTTGGCCATGTTCCCACCCTGCCCTCTATTTCCTTAGCCACAAGTCCCACCCATATCACAGTCTGGGTCTCCTATGCCACTTTTAAGTCCATGGCTCTGTTCTGACCGTCCCCATTCCAAACTTCGTCTCAACGCTCACCCCTCCGCCCCGCCCTCCACTCCAGGCCCCGCCCCCAGGGCTGACATCACCTGCTCCGCCTCCCGCAATTGGTCCTCCAGGGCCTGCTGCAGCTCCCGGTGCTGGCTGCGACGGCGCTCCTCTTCCTCCTGCAGCAGCCGCTCCGCCTGTCGCTGCGCCTCCTGCAGCAGTTCCAGCTCCTGCAGCTTCCGCTCCTTCTCCTCCTGCAACTGCTGCAGCCGCAGCAGCTCCTCTTCCTTGGCCGCCCGGCGCCGCTCCCGTTGTTCCCGCTGTTCGCGCCGCTTCTGCTTCAAGTCCTTGTGCAGCGATGTCTTCCCCTCCGCCTGCAGCCGGATCGCGGTCTGGATGGCTGCGGGCGGAGCGGGAGAGGGTCACCTGGGCCTAAGGAGTCTCTCAGGTCCACTTTCTAGCTCCCGCCGAGCTGAATATTATCACTATCACCCCCTTTTTCTGTCTTTATTTATTTATTTTTGGTGCTGAGGGTTTTGAGCTACCTCGCCAGTCCTATCACCCCCTTTTCAAAGATGGGGCAACTGACGCCAAACCAGACACAGCCCTCACCCACCGAGCGCTTACCAGCTGTCCACTCCTGGCGCTGGCGCGTGTCTGAGGCGCTCATCTCATAGGTGCGGCTGGCGGTCTTCACACAGAACATGCAGCGCTTTCCTTCGCGGTCTGGCAGCACCTGAGAGAGGGCAGGTGGCCCCAGCCCGGCTGGCCTCACTGAGGTCTGGGCCACACCTGGCCAAGAGGTGTCCCAGCTCAAGCCCCTCCCTCTCCTAGCTGACTTTCTTCCCTGCAAACTCGCCAGGAGCCTGAGTGGGCAGGAGGATTAGTGGCAGAGGTACTTGAGATTCCCTAGCTCTAGCCTTTGCCCTTTTAAGACTGGATGGGGCCATTTTCACCTTGGTATCTTTCCACAGAGCCTAGTACATAGTACAGGCTTGAACACTTCCAGTCACAGGGGCCTCCCCATGCCACTCGTTTGATTGTAACGCTGCCTAGTGAGAAAGTCCATTCATCCCACAGGTATTTGGAGCATCTGTTGAATGCAACTCGGTGTTTTAGGGTTTGGGGATACTAAGGGGCGCCTAACGGAACAAGTCCCTGCCTTCACTCTGCTTGCATTCTGTGGAAAATCACAGCTGCTGCTACACATTGAGCTTCTTATGTTCCAACACTGCTCTAGTGTTTTATGTGGACCATTTTATCCACTACTCCCCCTCACCCTTGCCAGACAGGCATTATTGGCTCTACTTGACAGAGAAAGAGACTGTGGTGCCAAGGGTTCCAGGAACGTGTCCAATTCACACTGCCTGTTAGTGGAGAAGCTGGGAGTTCCACCTCCATCTATGTTCTTTCCATAGCAACATCTATTTCCTTATGTGACAAAAATGGACAGAGCCTAGGATAGCAACAATTTAAATRTAAAATAACAAGAGTTGACAAGGATTAGAGAAATTGGAATYCTTATATACCACTGGTAAGAGTGTAAAATGGTATACTGCTGAAGAAACATTTGCAGTTACCCCCAAAGTTAGAATTACCACACAATCCAGCATTTCTTCTCCTAGAATGTGTATACCCAAGAGAAAAGAAAACATGTCCACATAGAAACTCATACATAATAGCATTGTTAACAATAGCAAAACAGTGGAACTAACCCAAATGTCCATCAACAGATGAATGGATAAACAAAATATGGTATATCCATCTGATGGAATATTATTCAGCCTTAAAGAGGAAGGAAATTCCTRTACATTCCACAACAAAGATGAAGTTTGGAAATGATGCTAAGTGAAAGGAGCCAGTCACAMAATGAAAAMTATTGTATAATTCCGCTGACATAAGGTACCTAGGATAGGCAAATTTGAGACAAAGTGTAATAGAGGCTATGAAGGGCTGAAGAGAAGAGGGAATGAACAGTTGGTGCTTAAATGAGTACAGAGTTTCTGTTTGGGCTGATTAAAAAAAACTGGAAATATGTAATAATGCTGATGGCCCAATATTGCAAGTACTTAATGCCACTGAATGGTACACCTAAGATTGTTAAAATGGCAAATTTCATATATATATATATATATATATATATATATATATACACACACACACATATACACTGATATATATGGAGATATATATACTGACACAAATATATGGATATATTTATATATCTACCATTTAAAATACTGTTTTTAAAATTTTATTTATTTATTTATTTATTTATTTATTTATTTATTTATTTATTTATTTATTTATTTATTGGTACTAGGGATTGAACTCAGGAGCACTTGACCACCAAGCCACATCCACAGCCCTATTTTATATTTTATTTAGAGATAGGGTCTCACTGAGTGCTTAGAGCCTTGTTTCTGCTGAGGCTAGCTTTGAACTTGCTATCCTCCTGCCTCAGCCTCCCTAGCTGCTGGGATTACTGGCATGCACCACCGTACCTGACCCTAAAATACTGTTKTTKTTTTTTTAAGTCTCTAAAATAATAATGAACACAACTAAGGGAAGAGAGAATGGAAGAGAAGAGGGAGAAGGAATAGGGGGTGAGGATAGGGAGGTATGGAATTTAGATGAAGGAGAAAGTCCTCCTAAGAGGATTTTTAAAAAGGATTTGCTATGAAGTGTGGATATAAACCATCTTCTCTGAAATCTTTAGCAAAATCCACATTATTCACTATTGAGTTTGGTATTTATATTAGTATTTGATTTTAGTTCTTTTGGAGTCTGACATGCACGAGAATGGCCTGGAGGCACCCAGGTATATTTGGGTTACACGAACCTAGCAGAAATGGGTGTTTCCTCCATTCTTCCCCCTGACCCCCTTTTCCTCCCACCACCCCAGGAACCCTCTGGGCCCTTTGCCTTTCCCTCATGCCCTCACCTCCACACAGCAGTGGGCATCCAGGGGGATGGTGCCCCTTTTCTCCTTGCACTCTTCACTCCCAAAGTAGCAGAGGCAGCTGGGCTGCAGCTGGAACCAGCGTTCTGCCCAGTTCCTCCTCAGGTGCCCCCGCTTCCAGAGGTAGCCCTGCTGGTCAGAGTCAAGTTAGAGATTCCAAGGCCCCCCCATCACCCTCCTGGTGTTCTCCCTGGTTCCCAGCTTGGCTGACCTGCTTCAGGACATCTTGGATGAGCTCCTGGTAGACCTCATGGATGGCCATGCTGAGGGTGTCCCGTCCCACACCCCGCAGGCAGCGGCCAGAGTTGAAGAGCTCCAGGAACTGCCAGACACTGAGTCCCCCGGTGGTCTGGGCTGCCTGGGCCTCCTGGGCCAGCAACTCCTCCAGCTCGCCCAAGCCCACCTCCAAACTCATGCTGCTGAGTACCTTCTTCAGCAGGTATTCTACCTGGAAGGGGAAAGGGAAGGCCTGGTGACAGCAGCAGGCTATATTGCCACACCAACACCAGGGGCATTCCATCTGGGGTCCTAGAGCCTGGTAGAGGGGATGAAGGACAAGGGGTTGAGAGGGCCAGAGGACAATGCCAAGGGAGACCAGGATGGAGATTCTGGAGGGAACCCTGGAGCCCTACTCCCAACTCAAGCATCCTCGTTCCCTTCCCGGCCCCAGTCCTACTTCTTCCTATTTTAAATTAAGGGCAGGGTGAAGGTGGGAGCTGAGAGCTGGGGGCCAGGCAGAGGCAGAGACTCATAAACAAGTCAGAGATGGCATAAAACTCTCATTTCATGTCCTTACTTTGTGGATGACAAAACCAAAGCCCAAAGTGGGAAGTAACTTGTTTTAAGTCACACAGCAAGTTGGGGGCAGCCAGAACTCCATCCATTTGGATCTCCAGATTCCCATTTGGGTCCTTATTCCAAACCCCAATCCCCAACCCTGTATCATTGCCCTGTGGGAAGGTAGGGGGTTGGGGGTGGGAGTAAGAAAGGCAGGGACAGGAAACCCATTTCAGAGGAACAGGAAGTGGTGGTTGGGGTATATCCTGCTGCAGTTTGTTCTCACTGCATGTTGATAATAGCAGCAAGAGGCCTTCTGGCCTCTGAGAGGCCACTTTGCCCTCACTGGCAAGGAATCTGACAAGGTTGTCCACTCAGATGGACACGTGTCCCTCTCTTGCTCCAGCATCTTTGGAAACTCTCTTTAGGTAGCTTTCCCACTCTTTCCACAATTGTTAGACATGCTAGGACTTGTGTGTGTGTGTGTGTGTGTGTGTGTGTGTGTGTGGTGCTGGGGATTGAACTCAGGGCCTCACACATGCTAGACAAGCGCTTAACCACTGAGCTAAATCTCCAGCCTGACATGGTAGGACACACCCTCCTTTGTGCACCCTACTATGAAGACCTAAATTCACCCTTGTGCTGCTATAGCCACCACCAGACCAAAGGGTAGGAGAARGCTGAATGGGCAGAGGAGAGAAGTGTGCCAAAGAGGGAGGGTGGATAGGAAAAGAAAATGACTGCTCTTGGTTTTTACCCATGAGCTAAAGGAGGTAATGGCTATGTTCCTGGCCTCTTCTCTAAGGATGCTGTCTCTCTGGGCCCCTGAGTCAGCCCTGACTCTCCAGGGGGAGGGGGGAAGATAGGAAAAATCTGGAACTAGGGCTTTGCCCACCTTGAGTAACTGAAGTTATTTCCTGGTCTCCCATCTTCCAAGGTCTCCCATCCCGTTACAAAGCACCTGCTAGATTATCACAGTTCCTAAAATCCCAATATTTGACCTTAAATGTTCTCATTTAAAAATGTTCAGCAACATATCATCAAACACTTCTGTTTAATGAAGTTTGCAGACCATTTTTCCTTCCGTGAGGACTAGCAGAACCTTGAGAGAAGTGTACTTTTTGGTTCTGGAAGAAGGCACAATTGCTCCAACATGGGTAGTTCTAGATATCTGGAGACAGCTGAGTGGGGACAGGTACCAGCATAGGGAGACAATGAAGGGAGAGGAAGTGGGAGGGTACGGAAAGTGATTGGCTTCCTTCATGGTGTTGTTGGGGCCTGGCCCCAGTGACTCAGTCCCCGGGTCTGCCGTCACCCTCACCTCATCAGGAACCATGATCAGAGGGTACTTGTCCTCAGACAGGAAGTTGAAGAGGCACCAGAGGCGGAAGGCATCCTGATTGGAGAGCAAGCTGTTCCCGTTGCTATCTGCTCGATAGTTCTTCTTGGCCGTCAGGGTCCAGCACAGCTCATCAAAGTGCTCTTTAACGAAAGCCCCCTCTTCCACCTGCCACCAGACCTGCCAGTCAGCCATTTGTCCCATCCCYGATCTACCACCAAACAAGGCTCCAGCTGGGTTACTTGTGTTCATTTATATTCCTGCTCCCCACCCTGCCAAGTCCAGTGCTGAATATGAGGAATCCCTGAGCCGATTACCAGGTAACTAGCTGGTTCCAATCTCCCAACCACTCCCCAACATACCACACCAGCCCAAGTGCCCTGCTGACAAAGAAATGTCATTCCCTCAGTCCAAAGGAAGAAGGAAGAGAGAGGCTCAGGGGGAGTGGATGGCCAAGGAGACCTGGGAAGAGAATGACAGGTGAGGGGAGCGGGGTGACATTAAGCTGGGAGCCAGAGGTGGTTTTGGGCAGGGATGGGGTGGAAAGGCTGCGGTTAGGGTGGAGGCTAGGATAGAGAGGGGAGACATTGAGGGTGAGCTGAGTGGGACAAGAAGGGGACAGATGGCTGGGATGTGATGACTGGGAGAACAAGGATGGACAGAGGGGGCAGAAGTGGGGGTTAACTGGGGGGTAGGGAAGAGTTGGAATAGCAAGGTGTTGGGGTGCTGGCCAGGCTGGAGAAGTGGGGAGAGGTTAGAAGTGTCCCACAAAGTGAGGCCCACCTTGTCCAGGATGTACTTGTTGAGGTARGGCATGTAGCCCTGGCTGGACACGGGGCCATCATCATCATCTCGGAAGTGCTCCTCCAGGGCCACAGGGTCATGGGGGATATGCAGGACCGTGTACAGGTTGTGGGACAGCACCTGAGACAGAGTGGCAGTTTGCCTTTCTGCGCTCCAAACAAAATTGGGCTAAAGTACTGTGCCCACCTCCCTGCTCATCAGCACCCCCATCCTGGCTGAGTCCTCTGTACACTGTTCAGTTCAATAATAACTAAAACGTATCTACGTACCAGGTGCCAAGCACTGAGCTAAGCACTTTACACATCATTCATTAACCTCCCTACTGACTATTCATATCCTCTTTTACAGATGAAAAAAACCCCTGAGGCTCTGAGATGTTTCTCAGCTGGCAGAACTGGTAGAGCTGGGATTCCAACCCTGGCAGCCATGCTTTCAACTACTTGATTAGGTGTCAGCGTCTTCTTTCTATAGATAGGACACTGAGGCTCACAGGATCCATTAACTTGCCCAAGGACCCACAGTGAGCAAGGGCTTGGGATTCCAATCCAGCTCCGTCAGACTTCAAAGCCCAGGTGTTTCCCACAGTGCTGGGCTATCTGCAGGGAGGCAGCAGCCTTGAACTTATCACAGTTTCCATCATAGACTCAGTGTTCAGGCTGCGGTGTGCCTGGCACCCAGGAGTGTCTGATCAACGAAGGGCCCCTTAACAGACTGAGGGGGGCTGGAGAGGGCTCAAAGAAGATTCATGAAAAATGGTCTATGAGATGGAGCGAGGTTGGATGGGATGGTGGTGGTCAAGACGGTGTGCAGGGAAAACATGGGTCTGTTGAACAGATTCAAGATATTAGAACTAAGGGGTTGAAATTTGAAATCTTGTAAAAATAAAWTTTTAAAAATGTTCTGGGGCAATTCTGTTATAGCACTTATCACAGACAGTGTGATGATTAAAAAGTTACTATTGGGCTGGGGAAGTGGCTCAAGCGGTAACGTGCTCGGCTGGCATGCGCAGGGCACTGGGTTTGATCCTCAGCACCACATAAAAATAAAATAAAGATGTTGTGTCCACCAAAAACTAAAAAATATTAAAATTTTTTTTCTCTCTCTCTCTTTAAAAAAAAAGTTACTATTGTGCAAATTGTGCACTCACTATGTGATAGCCACCGTATAGGGTGTTGTTCTTTTCTTTCTTTCTTTTTTAAGATGCTGTGGATGGGGCTGGGATTGTGGCTCAGCAGAAGAGCGATGGCCTAGCATGGGCGGGGCCCAGGTTCRATCCTCAGCACCACATAAAAATAAAGGCATTGTGTTGTGTCCATCTACACCAAAAAATAAATATTAACAATAATAACAAAAAAGATGCTGTGGATGAAGCCCAGAGTCTCTCACGCAGGCTAGGCCAGTGCTCTATCAGAGTCACATCTCAGCCCCGAGGTGCTTTTTATTATCCAGTTCTAGCCTCTACCACCACCTTGCTACACAAATATTCCTGTTTTTCAGATAAAGATATTGAGGTTTGGAGAATTTAAGAATAAATGGCAAAGCTGAGGTAGGAACTAGGTAGCCTGGCTTCAAGAGCTGGCTCCCTATTAGAATATTGACCCTGAACCTCTCTCTCCAACTGGATTGTGAGTCTGGAGACAAGGCCTTTGTTCCTCTTCTGTCCCACAGCCCCTGTGCTCTCTTATGCACACCAAGTGCAATCAAGCAATGCTGCGCCACCAGCAGTTCACCTTGAAGTCAGTTCCTTGGAAGCAGGAACTGGCCTGTGTCAGAGAGGGTATGTGTGCCAAGCCTTCATTTTATTCTCTTTTGAGAGAGGAAGGGGAGAAAGAATTAGATTTCTCCCCAATGTTCTCTAGGATGTCAGGTTCTTGCAAAGCAGGCAGGTGGGGGACCCTGTGTGTGTGTGTGTGTGTGTGTGTGTGTGTGTGTGTGTGTCTATGTAGTGTGTTTCTTATGGATTTCCCATGATTTTCAGAGTAAAAGCTGGAGTCCTTCCAGAGGCCTCTAGGCCCTGTGACTTGGCCTGCTGCACCTCCTCTGACCTATTTCTTGCTCACCTCTCCAGCCACTCTGGAATCCTTGCTGTTCCTTAAAACAGGACATACTCTTGCCTCAGGGCCATTTTTCTTGCTGTTATTGCATCCTGGAACATTCCTCTCCCAGGTCACTGCCTGGCTTGATGGCTTGCATCTTCCCCTCCTTCCCATTTTTGCTTAGTTGACACTTTCTCAGAGTGGGTTCCCTTGGTCATCTTATTGAAATCTGTAGCCCAAATTCCTCTAACCTCCACACTTGTCAGCCTGCATCTGCTATATTTTCTTCCCATCATTTATCATCATCTATCTACTAGACATTTTATTTATTCTATGTTGTTTCCTCTATCTAGGATGTCAACACCACTAAGTTGGAGTTTTCTCACTGTTGTATCACTGGGCCTGACACATAGTGGACACTCAATAAATATCTACTGGGTAAACTCAAATCCTTCATGGGAAGAAATAGAAAATAATGCAAAACTCAGACAGATATGGACTGAATCTCTTGAGCAGATAAACTTCGCTGGCCTCAGTTTCCCTATCTCTACATGGAGATATTACATAGAACTTGCCACCCAGAAGCACATGTTGCTTGAGCTGTTCCCTTCATGGTTCATCTGCCACACTGTCTTCTAAGACCTATTTAGCTAGCTTTCTTCACCAGTACCTTTTGCCATTGGACTCCAAAGAGCCCAGGGATGAGGCTCTGACTCCTGTGAGCTGTCAGGATCAGGACCAGGAGGAATTACAGGTTCCAGACACTTGGGGCTCAGTGATAAACCTCAGATTGCCAGGCTTCCGGTGCCTGGGTGGGGTGGGGGCGGGGTTTAGGGAGAGGGGTCCTGCTGGAAAGGAAATGGCAGCGGTGGAGGAATGTCGGGTGGAGGAGTGAGGAGCAGGAGCTCACTTGCAGATCTCAATCAATTCTCAACCCTGAAGGCAGGGACTCTCATTATCCTCATTTTATAGATGAGGAAATCAAGGCTTAGAGAGATGAAGTGTCTCACCCAAGGTCTGGCTTGGAAGCCCTGCTCTTGATCTCTATACTGCACGGTTCTGGCTGAACATTTGAATCACCTGGGGAGCTGGTGAAACTGAAATATGCTGGCCCCTCCCTACCTATTGACTCAGATTTTCCAGGGGTGGGGTCCAGGTGTCTATTTTTCATAAGCCGCCATCTGGTCTCTCTCAAGACACCCACAGTCTCTCTCACCCTCCTGGGAAGCCCCTGACCACTGGGTCAGCAACCATAGACCTCCCRAGGCTTCATTTATTCATTCTTTCCTCTGGAAGCCCGGGGGAAGGAGGCTGGTTCCCTCTGGGGACTTGGAGTCCTCTAAAAACCCAGGTGTAGGCATAGGTGTGGGCGTTAGGTCCACATTGACAATAAGTCAGTAAGGGCTGAGGCTGTAGCTCAGTGGCAGAGTGCTTGCCTAACATGCACCAAGCCATGGGTTCAATCCCCAGCACCCCTCAAACAAACAAAAAGTCAGTAAGGAGGCGGACATGATGGTGCATGCCTGTAATCCCAGCTACCCAGTAGGCTGAGGTAGAAGGATCGCAATTTCAAAGTCAGCCTAGGCAATTTAGTGAGCCTGTCTCAAATAGCCTTCAGGATCCTAAAGCCAACAGACCAGGAAGTACCTTCAGATACAGGGGGTTTGGGAATTCATAAAAGCACCAAGAGATGGCTTCACAAAGAATGAATGATCTCTCTCCTAAATTGACCATAATCATTAAAAGAGTCTAGGTTCCAAGTGATCCTTTTAAAAGACACAGATCCTTCAAGTAACTGAACGTACTTCAGTGGGAACTGAAGTGYAACTATTATCATGAAGACCTGAGAATTTTAAAAGGTGAATCTCTGGATTATCTGTGTAACCTATTGTGGGCAAGATCGGGGTGGAGGGGTTGGGTGTGGACAGAGACCTAGAAAAAGGAAAGGAGAGGTTGCATCAAGGATTGAGTTCATCTACTCTGTGTCTTTGTTTTTAGTTATTTTTGTAGGCTGGCTGGGCAGCTGGGTGGCTGGGTGTTCCCCAGATCAACCTTCTTTCTTTGATAGATGAGAAACTGGAGGACCACAGATATGGAATCACTTTCCCAAGGTCACTGAGCTGGGGAGCAGTATAGGTCACAGCCTGTGTGTTTCTGAGTCATGTGACCTGCATGTCATTAAGTCATCCTCCCTTTCCCACCCCATGTCCTTGCCTGAGGAGAACAGCAGCACAGAATGGTCAAGGCAAAGCAGATGACCCTGGCCAGCAGATTTCTGGACTGAATGTTCTTAACTTTCCCTCCATGACATAGAGTTAGGAGGCAAAGCCTGAAGCTCAGAGACTTCAGTAGGCAACAGACCCTCCCTTGGCTCCAGGACTACCCTGAGTGTCMGCTGGAAGCTCAGGAGCCTGGGAGGCCACCTGCACACCCTCCCTGTTTCYCCCCAGCTCTGGTCTGTCAAGGTGAAGCTGCAGACCTGCTGTCTCCCCTCCCTAGTCCTCACCAAGTCAGACTCACTGCTCCATATGCTCATCCCTGCCTATGGCCTGACAGGGAGAGTGGTGACCACATTCACAGCAGACCCTCTTCTGGGGAGAGGGTATGGCCACTAGGACAGCCTCCCTCTGAAGGGCTCCCTATTTGTGTTTTCAAATTAAAATGCTACAGCCCTCTGTCTGGAGGCTTCTCATTCCTCAAGCTCTTTAAAGGAGGTTCTGGGCATCTGTGCAAGCCTCCAGCCTCATTTCCGTCCGTCTGGCCAGGGGTGCCATTGCCACTGGTCTATTTTCACTGTTTTCAGCCCAACTGGATGAAAGCATTGTACTTTCTACAAGTATCCAGAGGGTAAATTTCATCTGGTTTCTCTGCCCAAGACTTTTCTTCTCCAGGGAAGTGCTCTCCACCCCTCCAGCTGTTCTCAGGCTTGCTGTTCTTCCTTCTGCCCTGGCCTCATCAGGAGTTTGCCTGGGACAGCCAAGACAGCCTCTCCTCCTGACACTCAGGGGAGAGGCAGCAATTCTCACCTGGGTATAGATTGCCCTGGAATAGTAGGGAGGTCTCCCTCCTGGTCCCAAATGTGGACTGCAAGGTTAGGGGCAGTTTCAGTAAGTATAACCCTGAGACTTTCCCCCTTATCCCCCTAGTCTTGCAGGGGAGGGGATGGGTCCGGGACGGTCTGTCTCCTCTGCTTCTTCTTCTGCCTTCTGACCACTTCTCTATTACGTCTCTGCCTTTCTGGCTTCCCCACTCTCAACATTATTATTACTTCCTCCCACTCCAGTGTTCACCCCTTGGATTTGGGGGGAAACTTGCCTTCCCTTCTATGCAGGGGCTTTGCCATTTCTGTCCACTCCCAATTGGCCTGAGCTTCCCACTGTTAAATTAGGTTCCCAGAGTGAATGAGTTTTCTGTCAGGTAGGAGTGAAATCTACCATTACCTGTGTGACCAGAGTTGCTGCAGTGGGTACAATATGAGCTTTAAGTGGTAGAAAGACAGTGTACAGTTCAAATGCGTGAGCTCTCCAAGGACTCTTCCTAGAAATACTCAATCTGTGGGGGTGAGGAGTGGGTGCTGGGCCAGAGCTTCAAACTAGGAAGCCTTACTGGCAGAGGGCATCAGAAAATAGGAACCACATAAAGGTTGTAACCGTCATACATGAGGGACACAGAAAGCCTGGAGAGATCTCAGTGGCCACGGACATGGAAAATTATATCTTGGAAGCAAGAAGCCATGGGATTGATTCTCCTGGAAAGATATAAAGGGGCAGAGTGGGAGGTGGGGTATGGGACACAGAGTTTCTGCAGGGATGGTGTTTGGATGATTTATTTTTCTTCCACACATTCAGAGGTCTCAAATAGACAACATGATTTTTTTCCCCGATACCGGGGAAAATTTTTTTTTCCCCTGGCCCTTTTGAGATAGGGTCTTGCTAAGTTGTTGAAGATGACCTCAAACTTTTAATCTTCTGCCTCAGCCCTCCAAGTCACTGGGATTATAGGTACATGTCACTATGTGTAACTAGACCTATAACAAAATGATTTAAGATGCATGTAAGGAAAACCTTTCTGTTGGAAGATTTTCCCCAGGAGACCAAAGGTAGACCCTCCTTCCTGGGAAAGTAGAAAATCATTTATTAAAATGTTGACAAATCTGGCTAAGGGGTAGATTATAAGATAGGACCAGCTTGGCACATCCAAGTTCAGCAATATGGGGGCTAAATGGAGGTCGGGCACAATGCCTATTATGTTCCATTTACCTGCCAGGTTTCTAGGCACCTCTTACCTTGTCATTAAGAATGGAGACTGAGATTGTGACCCTCTTTTGAAGCAGGGAAAGGGAGATATCAGGAATATAGGGCCTAACCTCATGCCAAGACCATCATCTAATGTGGGACACTCAATAAAAGTCACAGTGCGTGAACTAACCCTGAAGGCAGGTCCAGAGAGTTGAGGCCAATGCTGCTTCATTCCCCGTGTTTGCTGGTTCTAGCAGCCTTGACCCTTGCTTCTTCCTGCACTAACTGGAGTGGGGAAGGCAGCACTAACCCACTGGGGGTAGGTGGGGAGTGGGGTTGGGGGAGAATTATCTGGCCTCTCCAGGACCTTCCAGAATTTCTAGATGGCAGATTTTCTTGGACAATCACTGATGGAACTTTTCCTGGGCTGGCTTCCCAAGGTCTGAAGGCCCCAGTTTCCTTCCCAGTCTGGTGTGCGTGTGCATATGYTCATGGGTGGAACAGGACGGTGAGCTTGGCAGTAGTATAATGGGGTCAGCAGTTCTCACCCCCTCCCCCAGCTCTGTCCCACCTGTAGTTCAGCAGGCTAACTTGATTTAGAGGTGGAAAAAGGCCTTTATATCCCTCTGCTCCCGAGGAAGTGCCTGACTGGTTAACTGTCTTTCTCCAAAGCCAGGAGGAACTGGCAGGGAGGAGTAAGGTGCGTGCCCAAGCATGACTCTGGGGAGCTGTGTGTGCTCATCCCATGGAGTCTGGGAGGTGGCCTAACTCATGGTCCTCAGACCCCATGATGCACAGTGGCTCTGTATGCACTTCACTGAAGCTTCTGAATGGTGGGCAGCAACATCCACCCAGCCACGCTGGCTCAGTCACCCAGTACCAGTCCTCCAACCTGAGCCAGGGCCGCTGGATGGCTGGATGGCTGGGTGCCCAGAGCAGCAGAGCACTCCTGCTGAACACCCAAGCGGCAGGGACTGATATGGTGTGTCTGCCAGCCTCCCCTGGGCCCCAGTGCCCCTCACCTTGAGCTGGGACTTGGAGACCTTGCCACTCTTCTCTACATCCAGCGCGGTGAAGGCGTACCAGATGGACTTGAGCAGCTCCTTGCGCAGGGCCATGGCTGAGGCRCCCGCCCGGCCTAGGGGCGGCTCTTAACATCAAGATCCGGTTTCAGGAAATGCAAACGGCTGCAGAGACCGCAGAGGGGCCCTGGTGCAGAGCAAGAGCTCCACCTGCCTGCTTGCTCTGGCTCCCTGAGCTGGCCTGTGGCTCTGGCAGTGCTCGGCAGCCCCATTCCCCTGCATGGAACAGGGACCAACTTTCTCAGAATTGGGGGTCATTGTTCTGATGGGACTGGTTCTCTGGCTGTGAGGACCTTTTAGAAGCTTCTTTGCCCCAGGGCCTTCCTAGGCTACCAAGAGGCAGCTCCCTGAGGGAAAAAGAAAGCCCATCTTGACTTCAGAGTCAGTTTACCAGGTGTGAGGCCTTGAATTAAGTAACCTAACCTCCATGAATCACTTCCTCTTAGTAAACAGGAAAAATACYAACCTTACAGAGTGGTACAGATGTCTGAGAATGGATGTAAAGTACATAGAACGCTTTGGGTAAAGCATTTCTCTTAGTGCCACCTAGTGTAACCTTGGTGGTGGGGCTCCACCCAAGAGGAATGGCAGGGCTCCACCCAAGAGGAAGAAAACAAAGACAATGCCACAAAGCTAGAGGAAGAACCCGGCCAGGGCACCTCTCTAGGTCAGGCAGACTTGGCACTTGATTTGCTGGCTTACTATTCCCTGGGCATTGGCTCTAAAAGGCACAGAGGGCACTGCTCACTCTGGGCCTGGTGTCCCTGAAGACACCAGACTATATCTGAAACACACAAGGGTGAGTCTTGTGGGGCCCAAACTCAGGGATTCTGGCAGGGGCAGTTTTGGGATTTGGGGCCCTCCACATCGGTATTACCATATCTTTAGACCCAATGCCCATGAGGGCTGGGCATATCCACTTCAGGAGTAGGGATTTAAAGCCACCTGCAGGGCAATTCTGAGACACTCCCTTGCTAGGGGCATGCCTTACTCTTCTGCTTCCAAAGGGATGCAAGAGTAAATGGGAGCCTTCTAGCTATACTAGGAGTATGGGCCAGGGGATGGGGTTCCATTCTCACATGGTAGGAAGGGGCATGGGACACCATCACAGTTGAGAGAGGGAAAGAGGCATCTCCAGCTCCGGCGGTGCTTCCGCTTGGGCAGGGTCAAACCCACAGCTCCTTCCCCTGCATCCCTTCCTCCCACTGGGACTGGTCTGATCTTACCACTCACTTTTCGGTCTGATTATGGCTTTGAAATCCCACAGCAGAGCCCTAGACACCTGGTTGTACCCCATTTCTCAGGGCTGGGTAACATAGCCAGGGCTTCAGCACCAGAGCATTGAGGCATCAGAAACTTGGTAACCTTGACGAAGGTGCCCCTCAGCCCTGCTTTAACCTGAGGCTTTGCCCCCTGGGAGGAGCTGACTGCGTGCAGTCAGGAGTGGCTGGAGGGGCTGAGGCTACATTCCACAAAGATAAGGCAGGWAAAGAGTTCTTCCGGCCCACCATCCCAATGACCGAGATTCAGTTAGAGCTTGGAAGCAGTGGTCACCCTAGTCCTGTTTGGTTACCCTAGAGCCCACCTGCTCAGGTGGTAGGAAGACACCAGCAGCTCTCCTGGGCTTATCTTACATGAGGCCTTCCTCCTAACTGGGTCCCAGGTAGCCCAGCCTACCAGTTAGGCATCAAGGCCRAGCAGTTTGTGTCAGAGAAACAGGGATGAAAGCTTGACTTGATCAACCCTGCCACCAGGGTCCAGAGCTGAAAGAATGGAAGAACCAGGTGGAAACTTGGAACTTTTATTAAATACACATTCACCTGTTTGCCATCGCCACCCAGAGCAGGGAAAAATAATAATTATCAAAATAGAATTAAAAAAAACACACACAAAACAAATTAACCCCAATCCCCAGCAATCTATGTACAAGGCCACTCCCTGCCTCTCTGCCACTGAGAGGTTGGGGGGTTGCTGGGTGGTGGGAGCTGGGCACCTTTACTCCAGCCACAGGCCCCTGAGGAATTTATTCTTACTGTGGTGGCAGGAAGTCCCTAGTGCCAAGTGGCCAGGCATCTCTGCTGGCCTCTGGGGAGGTGGTTATTGCTGGGAGGGGCAGGGCTAGGCCTGTTCTGCCCCCACTGGGCTGAAGAGCTATTAGCTCTCTCCCCTGGTAGGCCGTCACCAGTCATGGTAGAGGCCAGTCCCCACTGCAGCCCCAAACTCCACCTGAGAAGGGTTATGGACTGAAGGTGGGAAGGGTGTTCTCCAAAGGGAGGAGAGTGGGTGCCCAGGGCAGCCTGGTGATCAGGCTTGTGCTCCTCAGCTCCTGAGGATGACACACTCCCAATTCCCACTGCCTGGCCCTTCTTGTGTAGGGCCCCCATCCCCTTCAGTTAGACCATTTTCCTGCTGCTGTCTCACCCGAGACCTATGTGGCCACCTTCCATGTTTCAGCCACAGCTGGGGCCCTTGGAGACAGGGCCGCCTGTGAAGCACAGCACCTCCTTCAGCATAAGTGGGAGCCAGCCCTCAGGCTCAGCAACCACTCTCCGACACTGCTGTCTCCAGAGTCAYAGTCCCTTGCTGCATGGCAGCAGTGGCCACGCTGATAGCCTCTTCCAAGGTCTGCTGCTCTTCCAGCTGTGGAGAAGGGAGGAACATGTGAGATACTCCCTATTAGATCCTAGCATTGGTAGTATGTAGTAGATGCCCTCCATCTACTCAGGGTCACATGTGAAGCTCTTAGTAGGGCCCCAATAACAGAAGGTTCACTTTGAAGAGTTCTATTAGGTTAGGTATGGCCAGGGACCCAGGATAGCCCAGTGTCAGAAAGATTGGTTTGTTTGTAGACTAATTGTCTGGAGAGAACCTTAGTGATCATCCACTGTTAAGTCCCAGGTGAATAAACAGAGATGAATGGCTAAGCCACAGGTGGACTGCCACGGGAGTTATCCTGAAGGCTGGAAAGGGCTTTCCTATGCTGCTTTAGCCAAGAAAGAGCTTGAGACATATGTGTGGATGGGCAGGAAGGGATTTGTCCTCTGAAATGGGCTCCTTTTGAGTCTGATGCCCTTCTCTTTAAGATTTCCACTGAATTCCTTTCCCCACTTGTTCCCTTCTCTGGCCTAAGATCCCCTTTCCTCTCAGACTTCAACCCACCTGCACTGCTATGTGCGTTCCGTTGGCTGTGGCCAACAGCGCCACCTGTTGATGATGAAGGGATGCTACACTTGAGTTCTCGGCCACCACAGCCCCAGAGGTAATGATTGTGACCTGAAACACAGAAGATCTTCCACCCACCTGCAGTACCCTCCATCTCCCCACTCCTAATAACAATACTCCACGCAAGATGGCTAGGAACAACCCAGAAAAAAAATGGACAAGACCATGTAGATCAAATTAATTAGTTTGAGGCTCTGAGATGAATGAGATTGTGTTTTTCTCCAATTTAGAGCCCAGGTGAATTCAGAATTTCAAATCATAGGACAGAGTTATAAAGGACCCCAGAGAGAATTTAATCCCTTCAGCTGAAAATGGACCTTGAAGTCCATGAAAAAATGATTGCCTACTTTTCAGCAAAGCAAATTTAGAGTAAACTGAGATTTAGAAACCATCTCTTGACCCCACTGTGTGTGTGTGTGTGTGTGTGTGTGTATATGTGTGTATGTGTGTGTGTATGTGTGTGTGTGTGCGTGAGTGCGCACGCTGTACTGGGAATTGAACCCAGGGGTACTTAATACTGAGATATGCTCTCAGTACTTTTTTTAAAAGACAGGATCTCACTAAATTGTCCAGGCTGGCCTCAAACTTCTGGTCATCTTGCCTAAGCCCCTTGAGTGGCTGGGATTACAGGCATGAACCATGATACCCAACTCAAGTCAAATGCTTTTAAAGATTTGAGTTGCCCAGAGGAGCTGCRGGGAAGACCTTTTATGGTGGGGAATCTTTGTCTTTAAAAAGGCTTGGCTAATTTGGCCTGCACTTTCATGCCCACCCCATGGAAAGGTTAACAAGAGAATAAGAAACCCTAAGCAAACCGCCTGGTCATACGGGCTGCGTCTGGGTGCCATCAGCGCTGACCATGGTGACTGTATGTGTGCCAGATGTGGCCAGGTCATCGTTGTGGCTGGGGATGGTGAGGGTGGTGCTGCCGTGCTGGGTTACCACACTGATGGCACTCCCCAGGGCCTGCAGGTCTTCTGGGGACAGGCTGACCTGCCAATAGGAGGGGAGAAGATGAGCTGGAACACCAGAAAAGGGGTGTCTGAAAACCCCTCAGGAGGGTGTGTCTGCTCTCCCAGATAAGCAAGCAAAACAGGGCCAAGACAGCAGAGAGCTACGCTAAAATTGACTAACCACTTCTGTGACCACCACTTTGCCTTCAAGCCCTGCTGTTGCATCGGAGTCTTCACCAAATTTCATCCCTGACACCTCTAGAAGGCCTAGGTGTACKGGGCAGAGAGGGTGTGGACAAGGGCCAGGTTATACTGCTGGCTGGTTATACTGGTGGGACTTCCAGGCTTCCGGAACCCTATACCAACGTGCCTCTTGAGAAGGACATTCAAATGTCTCATTTGGACACCTATCAGCTTCCAAGAGGAAAGCTACTATTTTCTAGAAGCTGAGACTAGGCTGGAAGCAAGAGGCTGGGCTACACGATTTGGTCCCCTCAGCTTTAGCTCTCTGAAGTCCACAGAGCTAAAATAGAAATCTGCATGGAAGTGGGGTTGTCAGAGCTTCAGAGCTCCCCAGAGTTCCCAAAGAGAATGAAGTGGTCATTTTGGCCTGCCCCAGCCCTGTACCTGCTGGGCACCATCCTGAGTGATGAGAGCCACCTGGGGAGCCSCATCCTCCTCAGTCACCATGGCCACTTGAGCTGGGATGTCATCACCCTCTTCCTTCACTTCTGACAGGTAAGCAATGCGAGCTCGCTTGGGTGGTGGACTTTCCTCAGCTGTAGAGGCGGCTAGGAGAGGAAAGCCTAGGCTACCTCCTGCCATTGGATGCATCTGGGAGGTCTGGCTTGCCCCACTCTT